TTTCTTCTTCATAGATTTTATTTAATCCAAAGATGTACTTTTTAGGTAAAGAAAGATTTAACAGTATTCCAAAGACCAGCACAATTTGTACATCTAGAACAGCGTTCTCAAAAATATATGTTTATAGATTTCCGTTTTAACTTTTTACTTAATTCCTTTGCTGTCTGAATTTTTCCCCAAGTATTATTATGCCGTTTTAGTTTACTGAGAAACTAGCATATGCGTTCTTTATATGGCTTTCTTTAACTTTCCATTCATACATGAAAGAGTGTTTTTTCTTGGATACATAGACTTCACACGCGCATATTTGTCTAGACTAAGTGTATTTATATTTCTGGTAGATCTTATTTACCTGTTCTGCACTACTCTATCTACATTTTAAATCTTAATTATAGCTATATCATTGTTACATTTAAATTTATCTAAATTAAATTTTGTAAAGCTTCTGTGTACATTTGTTTCCATTCCGCTGTGCAGGTACATGAATCTTTACAGTGGTCGAAATAAGTGTATGGTAGTGTAATACCAGTTGAAACATTTTAAATATTGAAACAGGATGTTTTGTTGTTGCAAAGCTCCTAAGTAAGTTCAATTCATGTTTACAGATATGTTCTTCGTCGCTATAGTAAAATGTCAAGATATATATAATAATAGTTATTTATAATAATGATGATCAATGATAGCACTCGTATACCCTTTATCAGTTGATGGCATCAACAGAACAAACATCTACAATTTCTCCAACAAGTCACTTGCGCTTTTTAATTTACAGTTGGAACTCCAGTATCGACTTAATTTAGTATTTTTATCTGTAATACTTAACTCAATACGGGACATACTTGGTACATGTATGCATTAATGTACATAAACGAAGAAACTGTTGTTATTAAGTTTCATCAAAAGGAATTGAAAAATATGGCCGTGTTTACACCACAAAATGTACTATGAGTACAAACAAACTGATGCATCTAGGAAAGTTTTAAGGCATGACAGAACCTAGATATATCAGTTATAATATGTAGTTAATGTCTCAGAAAATTAAAAACTTACCTGGATTATGATGTGTATTTTTTTCCAGTCTGTAGAAGATAGAAAAATTTAAAAAAACACATGAGTTTCACAAAATGCCGTACAAACAACGGTACATTGCCGGCTCATCTGCATGTTCGACGAAGGGATTGTCCATTAGATTGACAAAAATTCTTTCCGCAGTGAAAGAGGGTCTGCAGAAATACTGTGAAAATGTTTACTCGCGTAGTGGTATTAACCTAATGTGGATTCTAAAAAATTCCCTATGTGAAATTGAAAAATCGTCTAAAAGAAAAATCATCCACAATGATTTTCAACATAAAAATGACAGCATACACTATACATATATTACTTTGGGATACCATACGGCATATTTTGTTAAAAGTGAACAAAAAGGTAAAACATGCTACACAGAGGAACAAGTGATTAGTATGCTGGAGTTTCTTATATATTTGTTGAATTTGGAGGTAGACTTTTTCAACAAATTGTCGGCATTCCTATTGGAACGAACTGTGCGCCTCTCCTTGTCGACCTCTTCTTATTTTCATATGAGTCGGAGTTCCTTCAGACACTTGTCAAAAACAAGAAGATCAAAGAAGCCAGATCATTTAATTTCACATTCAGATATATTGATGATGTTCTTTCCATTGACAATCCAAACTTTTCTGATTGGGTTCCATTAATATATATTCCAGAACTAGAAATTAAAGAAACAACAAACACGGTTTCCTCTGTCTCATTTTTAGACTTATACCTCAAATTTGACATAAGCGGTCATCTCAGTACCAGAATCTATGACAAACGAGACGATTTAATTTTGAAACTATCAATTTCCCCCACCTTAGTAGCAATATACCAACTAAACCTGCATATGGGATATACATTTCCCAACTCATTCGGTATTCAAAAGCTTGCAGCTGCTACTCAGACTTTGTAAAACGTCACCAGTGTCTGAGCAGAAAGTTGATGAACTAGGGTTATGTCAAAGAACGTCTCGTCATTTTTCTAAAAAAGTTCATCGGAAGATACCAAGACCTTGTTGATAAATATTCCGTATCAACTTCACAAATAATACACGATGGTCTTGAAGTATAGATTTTAGGTACTGACGTTGTTTATCATCTTAATTACGTGTTATTGTGTTCTTTTATTTGTCTTTGTAAAGTATTACTCATACTGTTTAGTCTATATTTGGTAATATCCATTGGACGTGGCTTGGTACTTATACATCCCGTCATTGTGTTATTGTGCTATGGTAAAATTTTTGTATTCTTGTCTTTCGTTTTTGCTAATGTGCTTTGTCTATATGCCTTTTTGTTTTTCTTTGTTGACATATTTGTTTGTTTTATAGCGATTAAGATTATAACACAATGTTGACTGCTGTACCCCTATTTTTGACATTTTTACCTATTATGTCTGTTTGTTTTGTTCACGCATTGTTGTCAATATAATGGAATTTTATGCGACTGTCATACAAGTGAGATGTTTAGCTAGTTATAAAACTAGGTTGAATCCACCATTTTCTACATAAGAAAATGCCTGTACCAAGTCAGGAATATGACAGGTTTGATGTGTTTTGATTTTGCCATTTGATAAGGGACTTTCCGTTTTGAATTTTCCTCGGAGTTCGGTATTTTTGTTATTTTACTTTTCATTTGATACGGTCCACTCAGTTACACAGTTTAAATCACCTATTGTTTGCAGATGTATATTGTTCATCTATTGTCCATTTAAATCAATAATACTCACAACATTTATTTTATGAGGGAGCTTCTCAAACCTCTTTCCCAACTTAGTTTATTTTGGCACCTTCTGCAGGAATAAAAAAAGAAATGAATAGCACAATTCAGAAAAGTTCCCAATTTTCTGAAACATAAAATGCTTTAAAAATTTAATTATCTAGTTTCTGCTATGCCTTAAAACTTTTCCAGGTGCACAGGTTTGTCTGTACTTAGAGTAAAACGTGTGGTGTAAATACGGCAATATTAGCCAGAAGGTTATGATGAACCTTGATGCATTTTGAAAAACAAAAGATTGACACTGACCAATCTAACGAAGGCAATTTGTTGTACCGAAATTTTGTGAAAATAAAGTTGTCTCATAATTTAGTATTATAGATAGCTTATTATGAAAGTCTACATCTTCTGCAATTCAAACTATTGTCATAACTAAGCGATTTAAAATAAAAAGATCTATACAGTATTTACAATGATTAATTTAGTTCATTTATTGGGTCTGTTTAGTAGCTGAGAATTGACCGATCTTCATATTTTAATTTGCAAAGAAAAAAAACGGAGCCTGTTGGTGTTGTAAATTATTGGAACTTAATGCAGAAACTGGAATGTGTAACGCCATCTATAGCGGGAAACATGACATATGTAGACAACAACAAAAAATAATATAAATACCTGTGGTCAATGTACACATGAGATGACCCGTCTCAAAAAGGTTACCTATCGTCCTGGGCATAGGTGTTAGCGTCAGTATCGATTAGTTTTCGTAAATGTCTCGTAGCAGTTGGAAAATTTAAAGTACATTAAAACAGGATGATTTTTTATTCGTCAGAAGTCAACAAAAGATGGTTAACAATCCTTTTTCTTCTTATTCGTCTCTTATCCATACATCAATGGACAGCTATAGCTGCTATACAACCTATGATTGGAGGATCACCAATTGAAGCTGATCTACATAGAAAGTAGCTATCATGCATTTCTTTACAGTTAATTGCCTTGCGAATATCAAATGTACAATATAGCTAAAAAGACAAATGTCTGAATTTCGACAATCGTTACAGTTTCTTTTAACAATTAGAGAATTGTTGGCTAAATACGGGCCTCCTCGTATACTTGAATTTATCTTTCAAGAGAATATACCTTCAAAAATATGGCGAAGGTTGTGGTATCAAAGAAATTAAAACAAAAACGGGTTCAACACGTTAGAGGACAACGAAAAGTGTTCAGTATGACTGATAATCGTTTTTCTGGTGTTTTATTTATTATATAATTATTTCTTGACTTGTGCATTAGGGTTTAATCTTGTACTTGTTCAAAAAGGGGGATACTTGCACGCATACGTAGTAAACAAACAAACGTATTTATTAAAAGTTCTCTATTCAACGTTAGGAAATAAAATGTAAATTGTTGATACCCTTTCCTGGACGGTTTTAAAATGACGAAGTAAATCGTCTGAATATGACTAATATAGTGTCCTACCAGGTGATATCAATAACATTAGGATTGAAAACTAGAATTAAAAAAAACATTGAATAGATTGCAACTGCATTTTTAATGTACTCTCAAGCATTGATTTGTTCGACGTTTTTGGAACTGAAGTGAAAATGAAATGGGCCTGGTCGTGTTTACAAACCTCTATATTTGAACAACGACCACAGTATCGGATTTTTAAACAAAGTATTGAATCCATAAACAATTCCAAAATCTGCGTTACATACATTTAAGGATGTTTATTTGGTTAAAACAGAAATGTTTAAATTTTCTTATTGAGGAATTAAGACTTTATAAAGTACTATATTGATCATGGTATGTTTCCATTTCTGAATATTATTTTTTATTTTTTATATAACTATAAATGAACACGCAAACCAAGTGAACTTCAGCACCATGGAGACGTATTTTTATCTGTAAAATCAATGTTTTTTTTTTTTTATTATAGTCTTTTACGTAATCCCTTTTATTTAAATTTTACAATGCTATCTATTTACATTGACCACTGAATAAAATGAAATCTAATCTTTTTTAATAATCAAAATATTCTTAAGAGAAGATTTTTTTTCTCTCATTGGGTAAGCTTTTTAATAAAATTACACGTTTGTTTATGCTGAACTGAGGTATAAGCATTATTTGTTTACCTGTGTTGTCTTATCGCTATAAAAAAAACAACAAAAAAAACATAAGAAACGAAAGAAAATACCCTCTATCCTGTTACATTCAATGTTTTTTCCTCAATTCTAGGAAGGATCATCCACCAGATACAGTAATAGTTCATCATCTTGGACGAGGACCATATGCACCCAGTTTGACACCATATGGTATTAAATTAGAAACGTACCTGCGAATGGCAAAAATTCCTTATGAAGTAGGTATTGAGCCAATTATCTTGAAATAAGTCTGAAGTTAGATAAGCAAAAGTTTTATAAATATTTTTTTTTTAAATAAGCACTCTTTCGATATCAGGATCAAGTTTTGTCCTTCATTGTCATTTTGAAATAAAAAAGAAAAACATTATGCAAGTTGTTTTTCACTACATTTATAATTGATCTGAAGTAGAAGTCCTATTTTGGCCTCGCATCCGTAATTTCATTTATTAAGTACTTGATATCCATCTCTCGTGCTTTTAAATCAGATATTTATATCTTTTTGATAGTTTTTTTTTTAATATTCGACCCTACATCGTAATTTTTTGTTGTTGCTTACTTTAGAAATATAGATTATCTAAATGAGTGAAAATAGTAGTTAAACAAACATACAATCCAGAACCCGAAATGGACCTTTTCATTTTATATACAATTTTGATTTGTATGAAATATTATCATGGTCATTTAGAGAATCTTTACTTGAGATATATATTAGGGTAAATACAAATAATCTCACTTATTTATAAAAATTAACAAAAGTTCATAATAAAGGAATAAAAATAAGGATTTTTCTTCCAATCTATCGATATTACCAAACTATCAAGGCAGTGATTGTTTGGAGAGGGATTGAGATAAACCTGAAAAATTGAATAACAAAGATGTAAGCAATATTTCCCAACACTACACTAAAAACAACATTTCCCAACACTACACTAAAACAACATTTCCCAACACTACACTAAAGCAATATTTCCCAACACTACACTAAAACAACATTTCCCAACACTACACTAAAACAATATTTCCCAATACTACAATAAAACAATATTTCCCAACACTACACTGAAACAATATTTCCAAACACTACACTAAAACAATATTTCCCAACACTACACTAAAGCTTTACTTTATAAACAATATTTCCCGACGCTACACTTAAGCTTTACTTTATTAACAGAATTTCCCAACTCTACACTAAAACTTTACTGTAAACAATATTTCACAACATTACACTAAAGCTTTGATAAAAAATAGTTCATAACACTACACTAAAGCTTTGTAAACATTATTTGACACTACACTAAAGTTTTACTTTATAAACAATACTTCACAACATATGTTGGTTTTTAGAATGAACACGGTTCCGCTTCTAGCAAAAAAGGAAAATATCCATGGATTGAATACAATGGAAAGTGCATATCAGATTCTCAGCTTTGTATAGAATATTTAAATGATAAACGAGGAATCGATCTAGACAGAGACTTTACAGTAATGGAAAGGGGAACAGCAAGAGCTTTCCAGAAAATGTTAGAAGAAAACACTTACTGGTATATCAATTCTTTAGAACATATTCACGTTTTGTGAGATGAATTTCAGAATACCGTAGCATGCATTAAAAAGCAATGCTCAGTATTAATATATTAATAAAATTGAGAATGGAAATGGGGAATGTGTCAAAGAGACAACAACCCGACCAAAGAGTAGAATAGTCTATTAATAGTTAAAACCCGACCAAAGAGCAGACTAGTCTATTAATATTTAAAAAACATCATATTAAGAGCTTTTGCAAGAGTCATCTCCCGTTTGCGTTGGCACTCTTATTTAACAATAAAGCCACAGTTACATATCTGTATACTTTAAATACGAAAACGACGCTACCCCAATTTTTTTATCAAACAAATTTCCCTATTTTAACTCCTTATAAATATCCGTTATTTATACCCCATCTCTAGGAGTGTGTGTCAATTGCAACCACCTTGTCCGTCCGTCTATTCGTTTATTCGTTCGTCCATCCATCCGTTCATTTGTCCATTAGTCCAACAAAGATTGTCGTCACACTGTTTACAGGTAGTACTAAACAGATTTACTAAATATTTTATTAGCAGGTTGTCAATGATAAGTCGTATCTGGCAGATACCAACTTTCTGTTTGCCGACACTTTTAATTTTTCAATATGTTAAATAAACATTTCGTCAAAATTGTTTAAGCACTGAACAGAATGACTTCATAGTTTGTCAACAGCTTGGCAGTTTTGTGTGCTTTTCGTATCTATGACGTCATGCAGACACACACTCATTAGAGTAATGGTTGTTAGATAGATAATATGTATAATATATATATACTAGATAGTAAGCCACGCAAGCAAGGACGAAGTGGTGTATCCTTAAACACATAGTTACGGTTTATTAATTTTTTAGATGATTCTCTTTTGTGTACGACGTCATTTTCCTATTAATTTAGTTTGTTTATCGAAATTGAATTGCAAAAAAATCCGAAATACTTGCCCTATTCTTACAGTATTTCCCGCCTAAGAAATAACATTATTCCCTATTTGTTCTTGGGCTGTCTGAATTTTTGCATTGTTCCATTATTTTAGAGTAACAATGTCGGTTTAAGCATTATTTGTTAGATTGTGTTCAAAAACACGAGAATCACCTGTACAGTGTAATCTATATCTCATTCAGTTTAAGCCACGGGTTTTCCTGGAAACGCAAAATTGGTTCCTTTAGTATTATATATAACTTTGGATGTAAGTGATTGGTATTCCGATCGGGACAAACTGTCCCTCTTAGGCAGATGTGTTGCTGTACTGTAATTTAATCCACAATTTTCTACAGCTAGACTCAAGCTAGCAGCCACTCGCTAGCAGCCACTCCGCTAGCAGCCAGTTTTCAGATATGTCTATAAACCCAAAAGTTGCATAAGATTCAAACTTACTAAAACGTTTTTGTTTTATATAACCACAACAATACATGTTTTAACTTTAATTTAGCAGTCGAAAACATAATTCAATGAATTTTGAAATTTCATTTCCTGTTCAATATTTTAAAACCAATATTATGTGCTAAAATTATAGCACGGATTTTTTAAAAAATTGGTCCAAAGTTCGGGTCCGACACCCTACCCTACCCTAACTTTCAAAGTTAATAAACATTTTCCTACGGTAATACTTTTTTCCACACTAGGTGCAAATGAAAGTTGGGACCCTTAGGCATGCTTGACTAAAATATCCAGGTGGGGTATAGCACGGATTTTTTTATAAATTGGTAATATAGCTAATTAGTAATGTTCCTGCACACCAAACTTTGATTACTGAAAATAAATCCTGCGTATCATCAAAACTAAGCGAAACCCATTGTTATAGAAAGAGAATGATTCGCTAAAACAGATTTGGCTGACATGAAAGTATTAAAGTACGAACGCAACTTTGAATTCTTGTAGCGTAGAAATATTGTTACTTTTAGGAACTATTTTACAGGATGCCGAGAATATGGAAAGCTATTTCACACAATATCGAACAAATTTTTTCTGATGGAAAAGTCGATACCATGAAACAAGAAAATTTGGCCATATTTAAATAATTTCATTTAGTCAGTGTTGACAGTTGAAGTTTTAAAGCGTGCAGCACAATGTTGAAAGAACATAATATTGTTTTTAAAAATATTGATCAGGAAATGAAATTTTAAAATTCATTGAATTATGTTTTCGACTACTAAATTCAAGTTAAAACAGATATTGTTGTGGTTATATAAAATAAAAACGTTTTATTAAGTTTGAATCTTATGCAACTTTTGGGTTTATAGACATATCTGAAAACTGGCTGCTAGCGGAGTGGCTGCTAGCGAGTGGCTGCTAGCTTGAGTCTAGCTTTTCTACACAAGGAAATGCATGTACCAAGTCAGGAATATGACAGTTGTTTTCAATTCGTTTGATGTGTTTGAGCTTTTGATTTTGCCATTTGATATGGGACTTTCCATTATGAATTTTCCTTGGAGTTCTGTATTTTTGTTATTTTACTTTTTCTCGCATTTGAACGCATTTGAACTTCACAAAGACCCAATAATTTATAGATTTAAATGCTTTTTCTGATAAGACTTTTATTATACATTTTTCAAGATACCTTTTGTTAATTCAATAATCGAGAATAAAAGAGGGAGTTAAGAAATTTAAAAAAGATGAATCTAGCAACTTTTCATGCACTTGTTTAAAATCAGGAACCTGGTCAGTGCTTGTCTTTCTTATATCAAAAAAATAGAAAAACAAAGGATATGGGATAACCGTCCATGACACAAAAACAGTACATGTGCAGCAAAAACACACAAAAAGCAAAGGAACAGCGAATTTATTGCTTTTTATCGCATTTGATTGCATTTGAACTTCACAAAGACCCAATAATTTATAGATTTAAATGCTTTTTCTGATAAGATTTTTATTATACATTTTTCGAGCTACGTTTTGTTAATTCAATAATCGAGAATAAAAGAGGGAGTAAAGAAATTTAAAAAAAGGTGAATCTGGCAACTTTTCATGTATTTGTTTCAAATCAGGAACCTGGTTAGTGGTTGTCTTTCATTATATAAAAAAATAGAAAAACAAAGGATATGGGATAACCGTCCATGACACAAAATCAGTACATGCACAGCAAAAACACAAAAAGCAAAGGAACAGCGCATTTATTGCTGTCTTCATCTCAAAGTCACAGTCAGGCCTTCAACACGGAGAAAAAGGGGGATTTTTAGCTTAAAAGATTGTAGAGACAACTGTCTATTGTTGAAGACTGTATAATTGAACTATAGATATGTAGGACTCTAAAGTGCGATGGTACTCTAAAGTGCGATGGTCACGCTAAAGTGCGATGGACTACGCTAAAATGCGATGGTGTCAGACGCTAAAGTGCGATGGTTGTTTGTTTTTAAGTGCGATCAGATGACACGCTAAAGTGCGATTGTATGACACGCTAAAGTGCGATGGTTGAACACGCTAAAGTGTGATGGTGTAACGAGAATGGGGTTCAGGCAATGGTTTTTGTTTTTTGTTGTGCTCATATTAGTTTTTCGTCTATTGTATTGTTTATAAATCATGCCGTTTTCTTTCTCTTCTGCATTGTTTTACACTAGTCATTTCGTGGTCCTATATAGCATGCTATGCGACGCAAGCCAAAGCTCCACGTTTAAGATAATAATGTTATTAGGTGCATACATCAACGACATTTGGTCTTTGGTGGATAGTTGTTTCGTTGAAAATTATACCACATCTTCTTTGTTTTTAGCTCACCTGGCCCGAAGGGCCAAGTGAGCTTTTCTCATCACTTGGCGTCCGTCATCGTCGTCGTCGTCGTCGTCGTCCGTCGTCGTCGTCGTCGTCGTCGTCCGTCGTCGTTAGCTTTTTAAAAAATCTTCTCCTCTGAAACCACTGGGCCAAATTTTAACAAAATTGGCCACAATCATCATTAGGTTATCTAGTTTAAAAAATGTGTCCGATGACCCCGCTAACCAACCAAGATGGCCGCCATGGCTAAAAATAGAACATAGGGGTAACATGTAGATTTTGGCTTATATCTCTGAAACCAAAGCATTTAGAGTAAATCTGACAGGGTAAAACTGATTATCAGGTCAAGATCTATCTGCCCTGATATTTTCAGACAAATCTGACAACCTGTTGTTGGGTTGCTGCCCCTGAATTGGTAATTTTAAGGAAATTTTGAAGTTTTTGGTTATTATCTTGAATATTATTATAGATAGAGATAAACTGTAAACAGCAATAATGTTCAGCAAAGTAAGATCTACAAATAAGTTGTCATGACCAAAATTGTCAGTCGACCCCTTTAGGAGTTATTGCCCTTAATAGTCAATTTTTAACAATTTTTTGTAAATTTTTGTAATCTTTTACAAAAATCTTCTTCTCTGAAACTACTGAGACAAATTTAACCATACTTGGCCATAATCATTATTAGGGTATCTAGTTTCAAAAATTTGTCCGATGACCCCGCCTTCCAACCATCATGGCCGACTTGGTTAAAAATAGAACATAGGGGTAAAATGCAGTTTTTGGTTTATATCTCTGAAACTAAAGCATTTAGAGCAAATCTGACAGGTGGCAAAAATGTTCATCAGATTATGATTTATCTGCCCTGAAATTTTCAGACGAATCCGACAACCCGTTGTTGGGTTGCTGCCTCTGAGTTAGTAATTTTACAAAAATTTTGCAGTTTTTTGTTATTATCTTAAATATTATTATAATATCTAATATCTAATACTATTAATTATGATTTTAACCTTATTTTACATGATTTCCAAAGCATCAGTAAATACAGGTGAGCGACACAGGCTCTTGAGAGCCTCTAGTTTGTTTATTGTTTTGTATATAAATCATTCCGTTATTTTTATCGTTTGGATTGTTTTACACTGATAGTTTTGATAGTATTACCCTTTGGTCGTTATAAAATACTATCTACGGGGTTAGCTATACGGTAACCTTTAGTTAATTACATAAATGACATTTAGCCTTGGATAGAGACTTGACTCATTGGCATTCATATTATGATACGTCATGTTACTGTCCTGTCTTGTTGTCGAGTATCCCTCTCTTTCACAGACATGACGAACCATATATATTGTAAAAATTGTTTTATCAAATAATTCAATTAGAAAGTTAAAATATGGCTTCCATTTCACGCAAGTAAATGACATGGGATTAAAAACATAGAAGGAGTTTATAAATTAAATTTGGACGAATTAAATACTTTGACACTTGGTGTATTTTGCCGTTTAAGCTCTCTTTTACTGTATACACCTTCCCCTTACTATCGTCAGTTTCTATGTTTCTGAGAAGTATTTTTTCCAGTATCCTGAGAGAAACACGTTTGTCCCTGCAGACACAGCAGGATCAAACTTTTAAAGGTTTGCATTTCTGTTACTGTGGATGATGTTTTTGGGATTTAACTCCTCCGCATACAAACTCTTCTAGCACCAACCACAAATGTTCCGGATTGGGATAATTTGTTTCTCTTTTCTTGTCTAGTAAAAAACCTTCATCTGCACAAACATTCTCGTTTACCGGCATGTTCATTTCTGTTTGTATAAACGACTTGTAGCGTCATAATGCTATCTAACGTTGCAAACGTCCATACTTTAGCGAACAAACGCACTTTCTTGGAAAAACGCACTTTAGCGTATTGAGGCATCGGACTTTAGCGTGTTCCATTTAATAGCACAGACCATCGTACTTTAGCGTATCAAACCATCGCACTTTAGCGTAGACCATCGCACTTTAGCGTGACCATCGCGTTTTAGCGTCCCCATCGCATTTTAGAGTCGTTGATGTGATGTCTCATTGTTGTATCCCCAACATCATCTTTTATTCACGTTGAAGATGGGAACCAACGGTTATTTAAATTTTTCCTGTTAGTTATCGCTACACCGTTTTTTAAACATTTTCTAAACTACGAGATTCATTTGCCGCTTTCTTCCCCAATATACAAGTTTCCAACCATGACCATAGTGGACCAGTAAAATTATTCAAAGGAAATTTTAAAAAGACTAATTTAAGGGAATACAGACCCACGAAAAGGATAACAAGGCGCAAGTCAATATTCTTTGAAATTGTGTTAATATTCTGAATTTTGCAAACAGTTCAATGAATATTATATAACAGCTCGTCAAAGTGCACCTTTTTCAGAATAAGAAACATGCCATCTATAAGATGTGAGTTCATTCATTTAGCTCTGTCGTTCAAACTAAGAAAAATGAATGAATTCTTGTTTCTTATTTTGCATATATACACTGAAAGAAATTCCTAGAAGATGAACTAGCTTACCTAGTAAAGGAGAAAATATAACTAGTATATTTGTTAATTTACTAGTCTTTCTAGTTAAAATTACTAGTCTTTCTAGCTAAAGTTACTAGTCTTTCTAGTTAAAATTACTGGTCTTTCTAGGTAATTTACTAGTCCTTCTAGTAAGTTTACTGTCTACCTAATAAGTTTACAATCTACTTAGTAAGTTTCATAAGAATGGCTAGTAACTAATTACATTGATAGTACGAAGTTTACATATTTACCTGGTAACTTCTACTAGATATTGCTTTGAGTGTATGCACTAGAGTTATTGTCGACTATTTTAGTGAAATTTCTGTAACCAATATGTTTTTTTTTATATTATTTGATATGGGAATATTTAAATGAGCTAATATTTGTACTTTAATAGGTTTCAATTTCTGAAGGGTTCGTTTAACTATGGTTTAGCCTAAATAGTGATTAAATTACTAATGACATTAGCGTTTGGACTTTTTCCCATTCGTTATTATTTCAGATTCAATGCACATTGATTGACAGGCGTAAAACAACCAGGCTTTTGAATAAACATTTTTTTCACAACAGGGCATTTGCACTGGATAGATGGGTATATAATGTTTGGACAGCTTGTAAAGCTATGAAAGTTCCAACATTAGCTGGTTATTATGTCAGACGGCAAGTGAGGAATAATACGTATGCCCATGGTATTGGACGACATAGTTCAGATGAGGTGTATCATATTATGGAGCTTGATTTAAAGGCCCTTTCAGACTTCTTAGGTAACGTGTGAGTCTCTGTGGAATCATAATTGTTCACCTGATATGCATTATATTCCATCAGTCCTACGTAATCAGTCCGCCAAATAATATAACAGTGTAACAATAAAAATTGCTGAAATCTCACCAAATCCTTTATTTTTTTAATAGGTGCAAAAATCTTTTTTTTTTTTATCATTAACAGCATTTGTGAAAGTCACTCAAGGAAATTAGTCCCTGGATAAAATTTGCTTTTTAACCTTACAGTTTTGAATATTGTCTTTTGTTTATTGTACTATGCAATGATATTAAGTATGCTTACAGGAACACATTCAGGGCCTGTATAAGAAAAACAGTTTCACACGTGTCGGAGAAATTTTACCAAACTAATGAAAAAATGGAACAAAATGTTTTAATATTAGTCTGCTGTATAAAAGTCACATTAAATTACATTGTAAAGTCGATAAGTATTGATAGGACAAACAATAAAAAGGGCTCGTAACTTTCTTTTCTTTACTTTATCATTTGTTGTAGGTAATAAAAAATTCCTGCTCGGAGACAAGCCATGTCAGGAAGACTGTAGTGTATTTGGTATTATTGGTAATGCTTACTGGCAATCGTTCGGCAGTCCAGTAGAATCAGCTGTCAAAAGTAAGTACAAAATGTATCATATATTCAAACGTCATGCTTAACCTTATATGCGTGGCTTCCGAATGCGAAATTTATTGAATAATTAAATATCTAGAAAAGATGCAATTTATAAGGTGATTGATATTATCATTATTTAATGCATACATGTATTTATATAAAGAACATACGTGTTAATATATTTTAAGTACGACGACTTCAAAAATTACAATATTACCGAATCACGGACCATTGAGCTGACGATACCATTAGTGAACCAGCAGCGGTATCGATTCAGTGCTAGAAAATGAAAATAAGATTTTATGAATTTGGTGCGTCGAAGGCTATACATAGTAAGACTAACTATATAAAACCTTGGTGCATCCAAAGTACTTCAAGCTTTACCAGGAACGCTCAAACGCAAGGTATATATATGAACTCAATGATGTATAACAATTCTAGAATACGCGAGAAACTAAATGACCAAAATAAAATTTTTAAGCCTGGCGCACTTTTATCTTTAACGAGTTTATTTTTTTAAAGAAAAGCCAAATCCATTTGAAGTAAACTTTGTCTGATTGAGCCGGAACCTTAATTTCGTAATACTTTCTATAAATTTATCCACGGAGAATCTTAAGAAGATGTGCCATAAATTTTGTCAGTCCCAAAGCACTGACTACTAAGCTGGCGATACCATCGGGGACTAACAGCATACCAGTAGCGGTATCGCCCAGTGATAAAAAATGAAAATAACACTTAAAGATTTAGGTGCGTCCGAAGCGCTTTTCTTGATTTGCTTTGACAAGGACCACTCAAACTCCAAAAGCTTATGTTCAATAATTACTTCAATACCAGACGAGATATATGACCAAAGGAAACCATGTAAAACATTACCAAATCCACCTGGGCCGTCAACCTTTCCTGAGGTAGCATTAATAATTTGATACTTTTGAAATTTATCATCGGAGATTTTTAAGATACGTATGTTACAAATCATATCAGTACATACTACTGAGGTGATGATACCCTCAGAAACTAGCAGTCCGCCACCAGTGGTATAAACCCATTACTGGAAAATAAAAATATGGAACAGAGAAGAGAAAAATAACTTTGATTAGATTTCCATGCGCACAGCGTTTTTCTATAACCTTTATTGGGAACAAATCCGAGAAATATGTATCACAACAAGCTTACTATTTTGTGATTTTAGGGTCAAAAAATTTTCTTTCATCTCATCTTTTAATCAGAGCGAAAATATAAGTATTTGACACGAGAGAATCAGATGAACTTTATAAGCACTAGCTAAAGTAAATGCAGTTTTAAGTATTTTTGTCTTTTTTACCTTTGTAAAAGGTATAAATGGAGAAAACGAAAAATTAGAAAACAATACAAAATGCTTACCATTTCATTATGAAAATTTACATTTTCATAAAATACACAAATATTACTGACATATATACAACTTGGAAGATGTCCCAATGTCATTCTATTGATACACATGATTACAGTCAGTTATAACTTACTGAAATATTTGTTAAAAGAAATCTTAATTTTATTTTCAGAATATAGAAACTTATGTGATTATTGTGAAAGGATGAAACAGACATTCTGGCCTGACTGGGACGAATGTATTACCCATGGACACACAAAAGACGCAACTAAATGATTACTTTTGTAATGAGCTTACTTGCTTGCACATAATGCTATCATAAGAAAACTTAAATCTGAAATAAAATGTTTGCATTCACATCACATTGATTTTGAATGGCTGGGGATGTTTTCAGGTGAATGTTATTTTTATATTAGAGGAGGTATGAGAATAGCCACTATCTGGTCCTCGAAATTGATTGAAAAAAATCTATCATCCTTTTAAAAGTATATTAAAAATTAATGTCTGTTGTGATGACGCGTACACAGCCAAATTTTGCTCACGTGAATTTCACAATAATTTCACGTTAATTTCACGTGAAGTGATTTCACGTGTGATTCACGTTAAATTTTCACGTGAATTTCACGTAAAACATTTCACGTGAATTTCACGTGAAAAAATATAAATGGTGTCTAAGTTAAAAACAAATAACCGAAAATCAAAAATTTTGTCAACCTCTAATACCTTGTATTATATGTATCATATATTCCATGGAAATTTTAATTTAATTTAAAAAATTCTATTTTCACGTGAAATTCACGTGAATATTTCACGTTAAATTCATGTGAATATTTCACGTTAAATTCACGTGAACAAAATTTGCCTGTGTAATGATAAATCATAGACAAATCGACACAGTTACAGTTGCGTGACATTTCAAAATCACACATAGTTTAGGGCTAAATACAGAATGAACCTCAAACTTATTCTAAAAGAAACATATTTCCAGATTATTAACATCTATTTTATCAATAATCAGAGCCAGGATTCAGAGAACAAGGTGCTTGTCTCTGATTTTCTTTTTACCTAAATACCTTTATATAACACAAGGTACACTACTTGCATTTTTGAGAAATGGCACGCAGTTGCAGACTTAATTGACAATAAGGGTCGGTTGCGAACACAACTTTACGACAAAAGATATGATTTCATGCAGCCTTCCAATGGTGAACTGTCCTTTTCTATGTAGCAACTTTCCAGCAGCACCTGCATATAGAGTATATATCTGCCAGTGGTTACGATATTCTAGAGCTAACGTTTCCAATCACGATATCCTTGATACATAGCATTGGTATTGAACCAAAGACTCCTATTCCTTGAAGTCATCCCATCGGAAGTTTTACGGACACTTTCATGAGTTGGTTTACCGTTAAGGAATATCTGTGTCACTAACTGTAACACGGAATATGTTCTAATTGTTGTACCCCTTCTCGACTCCCGTCTTTTTTTCTCAAATTGGACTTGAACACTGATTTGTACTTATCCTGAGCAACACGACGGGTGCCATATATGGGTCAATATCTTTAAGGATGTACACCTCTGAGGAGCCAAAAATTTCTAGAATTAAACTTTTTTTCTTAACCTGATTTTTGGGTTTATATGACTGTAAGAAAGTAACTGATGAAGAAAAAATCATATGGGGTGCACTTCTTTCGTGCTACAGCCATTTGAAAGAATCTATTTCTTATGATTTTCCCATTTTTCATCAATTTTTACCCATTTTTGAGCTATTATCATGACAAAAATCATAATTGTACAGTTAAACTTTTTTTCATACTTTCACTAAAGATGAAGTGGACCAATCTGCATACATTTAACTAAAAAAAAACTATAGGTTGGTGTTAATTTTAGAAAGTTTTATAAAATTTTGTTGCTTTTTCGTGTCAAATTGACCATACTGTCAACTTTGTAAATTTGGGATTTTTCTCTTTATTTTTTAGAACAAAAAGCATGTTATTTCAACTTCTTTGTTATAAACGATTGAAAAAATACATCTCTAAGAATTTTGAAAAGAAAAATTTGATATGAGATGTAAATATTTTTGGTAAAATCATTTCTTTGTACCCTCACCTATTTTCTCAACATTTTGGCTGATGACATTCACCAGATTGGTTATAAAATTTGAAAATTTTATTACTCAAAAACTATTTATTCTAAGTACACAATTCTTTCACAGAGTTTAGTTTCGTTATAATATTTTGTATATTCATTGATATTTTCCAACTTTATCACATGTTTTGGAAATAATTCCCAAACGAGATTTCAACGAGACTGAAACCTAGCATCAAAGTGAAGTTCACAACTATAAATAGAAAAGAAAATCCTGTATGCATTGATATTGGACATGATGCTATTTTTAGAAAATTGATTGAGCTTAACCATATGTGCTTTTTTGAATGGCAGAAGACTGTACAATGAAGATGTAAAACCTTTGGAGTTATTAAGTGTTTGTAATGAACTGAATTTCCAGAGAATTTAATTAACTTTGTGAAAAAATAGAGATTTTTCTCTTGTTGAGGTGGCATCAAGTAGGGCCTTTCGGGGTTGCCCAATTTGTGAAAAAATTAATCTCACTTCGTATCTCGAAAATTTAACCACATCTGTGAAAATGTCTTAGCTTCGAATCGAGTTACATATCCAAGTTTACGATATGGGCAGATGAATGGAAGAAAAGGTTACCATTGTCGCCTACCTGAAACGAATTGTGCATCTTGCCCCATGTGGGGTAGGATCTGCTTACCCTCACAAAACGCATGCAATAACCCCTTGTTATAATGGAGTTCTTGTTGCTTTGTGTTAAGTTTGATATGTAGTGTTTTTATTGAAGACTGTCTTTTCGTCGTTTTTCGCTTTCGTGCCATGATTTTGTCGGTCTCTCTTTTATTAATGAGTGTTGGGTCTCCATTTGGTACCTTCTGTCACTCTTTGGAAAAGAAACTATTTTCGAAAGTCTTTCCAGTCTCTAGATTTTAATTTTTGTCATTTCCATATCATATGTCGTTTTTCAAATCCCATCTAAGCACGTGGTCACTGGGTATGACTAGAAACCAACATTATATACAAACTAAAAACGCACAAAAATGTATCTAAATAAAACAAGATTAGACCTTAAACCAAGCAAAGGTGCAAACAACGCACCACGACGTTCTGTCCGATGTTGCTAACGTTTGTATATATAATGTCTACAACTAAACCATCTATATTTTAACCCGTCTTTAAGATAGGAAATTGTTTGGAGATTGGTCCGTTTTGGTCTTATTATGTTAAAATGAATACTTGTAGTTACATACTTTGTTCTTTCATGTTTTATTTGTTCCTGTATGTATTATTTCAACAAAGTATATCAGAATACATGTATAATGAGAATAAGAACTCACAAAACACAGTTTAACGTGTAAATCCTAAAATATGAATCCGATCGTGTAAGAGATTATTTTTGTTTCCGTCCATGTCTATTGAAAATTTGAGAAATACGTTTCACTGTTGACATCAAATATTTAGTCGTCCTTTTTGTTTTACTTTCTTGTTGAGATTAAAAGTTGTCATATGGAATGCTCACTTCTTCAAACCACATGGTCACCTCTAGAGGCATTATAAAATGTCGAATTACCTATTTTCTCTGTTTTGTAATTTAATTTCCTTCAATATTTGTCTGTTTGAACCTTGACCTATAAAATCTGAAGTAAAATCTGTTACTTTTCAACACACCGTAGAACAAATCCAAGAAAAATGTTTTGCTTCAACCTAATGCAGTAAGATTTATCCAGTAGTAAAAAAAAAGAACAATGCTGTGGGAAAGCCTGACAGTAACCATAGTGAGGATATTTTGAATCCCACTTAAAAAAAAAAACAAAACTACACACAATGTATTGTGATCTTGCTTTGCAGCCATAATTTCAAATTCTGAATTGAGAGCTCGAGATGAAGCATAAAGTACGGAGGTTGCACCACTTGTAAAGCATAATAACTGGATTTTCAGATTAGTCTGACTAAATGGAAAAGATAATAATGGGGTATTTAAAAACAATATTACATTGACTCACTTTATTGTTGCAAAGTAAGCACCGGAACCTGTAATGAATTTTGACGTCCAATCACAACAACGGTAAGTCACTTGTTATCATTTGAGTCCTATATAAAACAAAAGCCTATACTAGTCGTTTCAGAATGCATGGTTATTAACAAAATTTCTGTGTGAATTACATGACGACGAATATAAAGAATTATAGCCATCACACATTTACTGGAGAAATTTCATAATATTTATGCAGATATGTTTTGTGAACGAAATGTTTCTGTTGATTTTATAAAATGCTAATGACGTTTAGTATGTTACAAATTGAAAAAAAAGAAGACATAAATTAAATATAAAATGTGATAACAGATACAACTTTATGTGTAGCCACCAATCAACAAAACCAAGGTAAATGTTAATGTCAGCAGAGTTGTCAAGACTAGTAATAGCACGAAGAAGAACCAATCAAGAACAGCGGACACATCTTTCCAACAGAGCAGATCATCATTGTTGTCATAACTTACGGATATACTATCGTCTACTTTCTTGGTAGACACGGAGTTTTTACAACATCCTCTCCAACAAGAAATAGGAACACAACAGCCTCGAATTAATTTGTAAACCCATTTAGGAACTGGCACGGCATCATCTCGGAAATTGATCCGGATTACAAGCACTGTAGCAAAAACACAGAAGACACCAAGAACAAGCGTCATAGCTAGATATACAGCTGAAACAAAAATTACAAATATCTAGGATTATAAGATGGATGTTTTTCTTTTTAGGGTAGCAACTCAGATGATTTTTATTTTCATTTTTCAAATCTGTTACTGATATTCCTTTAATTTCAACGAGAGGTCCTTGGAATAGTTTGTTTGTGAGAACTCTATTTCCTTAATTTCTCTTGATCATATTATTTGTCGCCCATAAACTTTCTATACTCTTGTGTGCGGTTTTACTTTTAAATCTAAATCCAAATTGAAAGTGAATCATAGATGTAGAATATAAATCACAGAATAATGTGCTAAAACATGTAAAAGACTATATGCAAATAATTGAAATATATCTGTATTTTAATGCCCATTTTGCAATTTAATACACAGATTACATTTCAATGGAGATTAGTTTTTACGCTTCTTATATATACAGCAAAGGATTGTCAAATAGTAAATTTCGTCGCTATTTTCTATCATGGTTCACACTGAAAATCTTTATTTTCCTGTTTGTTCTCAAAAACATTTGCCCTTCCGGAGCACCTGAGTTACCCCAAGTTTTTGGTGGGCTTCGTGTTTCTATGTAGCGTTTTATGAACTTGTTTGTCTTTTCGTGGTCTTTCAGTTTATACAATGGAGTTGTCAGATTCTCACGATTTATCAGTTATGAAGGTCTTCTTGGTATCTTCCGTCTCTTTTTGACTTTTCTATGGTGGCCGGTTAGTGCCATTTCGCGTTTTCGCGTTTCGCGTTTTCGCCCTTCATATTCTATAGGGCAAAAACGCGAAATCGCAAAGTCGAAAACGCGAAGTCGAAAACGCGAAAACGCGAAATATTTTTTCTTTCCGATTTCGCGTTTTCGATTTCGCGTTTTCGCGATTAGTATAATTTAATTAGTATCATTAAACTGATTTGACACACAACCAAATTATCAAGAATTGTATTATACTCAGCATTTTATATTAATACTTGACAGTGAGCTCAGTGAACGATACGTGTTTCTTTGAACCGTTTATGACATTTAGGCAGTCAAAATGAGAAGCTTGGTGACAGGTTAATGCCGAGGTTTAGGATAATTTCTATGCAAGTTCATGCATACATTATCGTGTGATACAATACAACTGTTGTTTTGGTTGTAATCACTGTCCTTATTTTGTATTAATTCTTCCACGTCTTATCTTTTTAACCGTGCTTCGAAGTTCTGGATTTTTTTATTCTTAAACATATTTGCACTTATTGTATAGTTTTATTGTTGATATTCACCCCATATGTACCAAGTGTTAAATTAGTTTTATTGATATTAAAGAAATTTTTTGGTATTCCTAAACGGAAGATTTTATACACACAGAATTAAGAAGAAGTATACTTAACAACAAAATTATTTTCATTTACCTGTGTATAATATGACGCAGGTTTTTCAAAAGTGATGATTTTCTAAATATTGTTTAACATTTCACAGTTGTATCATACTTTAACTTTGTTTAAACCTGTTTATTTACTTTTGACCATAATTATTTATCCCTTATAATTTTTATTAACTATGTATTTGCATTCAGGTATCACAGATCAAATTTATTCGTTCATTGTGTGTTAATTTACGTTTTTTGATTGAGTTAAGCCTTCCAATTAATATTTTATAGTGTGTCTTTCTATGTTGTGATGTTATACTATTGTTTCAGAAAAGGGAGAAGGTTTGGTACCATTAAAACGTTTAATCCCGCTGCAAATGTTTGCACCTGTCCTAAGTCAGGAATCTGATGTACAGTAGTTGTTGTCTGTTTATGTAGTTCATACGTGTTTCTCGTTTCTCGTTTTTATATAGATTAGACCGTTGGTTTTCCCGTTTGAATGGTTGTACACTAGTAATTTTTGGGCCCCTTTATAGCTTGCTGTTCGGTGTAAGCCAGTGCTCCGTGTTGAAGGCCGTACCTTGACCTATAATGGTTTACTTTTATAAATTGTTACTTGGATGGGGAATTGTCTCATTGGCACTCATACCACATCTTCCTATATCTATTTAGCATTTCACTTACAGAGATATGATATATGTACTGCGGATGCAGGCATACTGTCCGTCACCAATGTTAAAAGAACAGCCAAAGCCAGCAGTACAGTGATTGAAAACCCTATTTTTTCTCCCGAATCAACAGGGAGTACAAATACAAGGATCTGTAAAAAGGCTACAAGCAGTACTGGTAGGATGACTCCAGGTACGTAATACGGAGGTTTCCGTCGTAGTGTGATAACAAACTCTAGTACGGGATACGTCTTAACTGATCCAGAGGCTTTAGTCTCTGTAAGATCTTTTGCTTTAACTTCTGAGCCTGTCACAGCCCACTCTCCGTTTTCTCTGGAATTAAAAATAAGAGATGGCAATGAGTTCAAAACGTAAAAATAAAATTTCGTTTGTTGTAGTGCATACTAAACTTGCACAAACTGTGAATTAAAATCCCTCTAACTACGTTTTCATATAAAATCTTAAAATCGATTGCATTTGCATGTGTTGAAATAGTTTTACATTTATTAATTCTGAAATTTGACAGAAAAAAAACCCATTTATTTTATCTAGCAAATAAACCCATTTGACGCAAGTCTAGATTAATCGAGATCCTTTAAAATATTTGTTACTTTTATGGCTGCTTCTATTTAAAAGATATTGTGTCCCTTGTAACAGTTTTGTTTTCAGACGACTTTCATAGTCTTTTTCGAAGAAAGTGTAACTTTCGTAGTCTTCTTCGAAATAAGTGTAACTTTCGTAGTCTTTTTCGAAGAAAGTGTAAATATTACACGTAACTGTAAAGTTATCATTTAAGGAATTATAATAGCTTAATCTTGCTACAACCAAAAGACGGGGCTTGAACAACGCACCCAAGACAAAAGCCTCCCCCTGGAAAAAATGTTTAAAAATAGTAAAAACATTTTTGGAGATAAGTTCCCAGTTGCCGGATGTAAATATTTACAAATTTTTACTCTATTAGCATTTATATTCACCAAAAGTGGCTAAGGAAGACGGATTCATATAAGTTTGTCTTGTTTCCGAATCCCTGTATTTGTATTTGTCATTTATGCACATTTGAAAAATGAAATATTGTTTAAACTAAAAAATATTATATAGTTCAATAATGTTGAATTACCCAAATTTGTATACCATTTGAATAGTTCTTTAACGCCGCTTAATCTCCAAATATGAATAAAAGGCGATGTAGGTTATATGTCAACTAGACAACAACCAAACAACACAAAATACCTAAATCTCTACATATGGTCTTTGTCAATAGGCAGGTGTCTAAAAAACTGTCAATAAATCTAATAGACTACAAAAATCTGCCCTCAACAACATCTTTTTTTTCAAATGACAAAACATTTTAACATCTGACAAAAGAGAACCACTAGCGAGGTAATAGACTTGGAAAAGCACTTGCAAAGTGATTAAATTAGTTATCAAAGCTAAAAAAGGATAAACGAAGGTGTGGATTATTAATGCAATTTATTCAAAAATCACTCTTTTTTACGGCAATTCTTTCCCTTTTTTGATTTTGAGATTTTCTCGGCTTCTTATTCAGTCACATTTTAATATTCAATTGGTACTGTTTCAGTTAAATATCGTTTGCACCTCAAAAAATATGTTTAACTTGAAACTATAGTCGAATCCTACTCAAAATATTACTAGAGCTCGAAGTATAACTCAAACCACAACTCGAACTTTAATTTGAATTTTGACTCGAATAACTCAAACTAAAAAAATAACTCACACTTTAAGTAGAATTTCAACTCGAACTCCAATCCTACCTCGAACTTTTATTATTTTGTTAGCCGTAGAATTGCACATTATTCATGCATGATTGGAAAAAAATACCTGAATAAAAAACATTCTAACATAACCAACTTATGAGAGGAAAAAAACTAATACATACAAGAAGTTAAGAGGAGAATAGGATTTTGTTTTGAAGATCAAATATCTACAGTCGCACAGTTTTTACACTATTTTAGCTTTTGAGACTCAGTTAAAACATCATAGTTTTACAGTAATACCAATAAATAATAGGGTAAGGGATGCTTACTGTAGGTCTTCCGTTTTTATTACTTCATAAAGTGCCTCTAGTGTCAAATCTTCTTTAGTATAAGCCCAGCTGGTTAATTCAATACTACATGATTGTTTGTCAAAAGGATAAAAGGTTACATCTACTTCACAATGTGTCTGGAATATTAGAGGAAGTTCCCATTCGACAACACCCGTTTTCTCAACTTTGAACTGTAGGTAGGCGTCGTTTAATATTTTCACATCTTGTTTCCTGTTTTAAGGCAAAAATGATTATTTGTACATTAACATGCAGAATATAGATATGAATAATGTAATTCCAAAGTTATCATTATTTTTTCAAATGAAGATTGGGGACAAATCAACACCTTTTAGTCTTAGCAAAATTATTGAAAAACAATCGAGAAAAATTGCTATAACAAAATTCATTGAACTAAACGTTATATATATAGACACTTTTCGGTGAAAGTGTATAGATTGATATTTTAGAAAATGAACATCGCATAAATGCAAATGATATATTATACATAATAATAAAATGTGTATCTCGATCTTTTTAATAAACAAACTGACCGGTTGTCGAAGCAAAATAACGTATGTTTTGTTGTGTTTTATAAATTAATGTTTGTGTGACAGACAGTTTTTAATGAATATAATTAAATAGAGATATTAACTTTTTTGTTTATAAGGATATTAAAGATCTATCGGTAGTAAGATTTCCTTCCTTTATGGAGGTAAATGTACCCGAAATCTGTGTAAAAGATGAAGACGAAGACGAAATACCAAGCAAACAATCAAAATTCATAATTTGAAAAAGATAGAAAAAATTATGATAAAAAAATAAATGGATTGATGACTGCTTAACTTTCACAACGACCAAAACTAAAATTTAAGTTATTGCAAAAGTAAAAAAAATCATTGATTCAACTGGGTAATCTCTTTTGTCTTTATTCATTACTATAAATATTTAAAAGTACAAAACAGAAAACTAAAATAAAATATTCCAAAACTGAAAACTAAAAACAAAATCCTTTTACAAACGTATGGTACCGATTTCAGAGCGCACGACAAATGTGAAAAGCAGGCAAAACATATATCTGTCTTAGAGTTTAATGAAATAATCAACAAACCGACTCATTGTATTGTATTCTTAATTAAATTTGAAGAATAACTTAAATAAAAACTGTGTATACATTTTTGCTCGAATTGTGTAAATTAGTCATGTCATTAAGCTCACAATTTATTCGACAATATGAAATTCTTTTCCCATGCATTGCCCAATTTATTTTAAAAAAGAATAAAGTGTCGGCAGAATACTTATTCTTTTATCGTTTTACAGTTAGGAGAATGTTTTATAGATAACATTAATAGAAAAACAAAGAGTATGGGGTATCCATCCATGACACAAAATCAGTACATGCACAGGAAAAAAAACACACAATAAGCAAAGGAACAGCGCTTTTATTGCTGTTCTTCATCTCAAAGTCACAGTGAGCCCTTCAACACGGAGCAAAACAACTCTCACCTCACTGCGAGTTTAAGATGATCCCTAGCACCGGCTTGAGCCGAATATTTTGCAAAAATAAATTTGGATAGACTTTGTAAGATGTAACACTACCCATCCATACTAAAACTGTAGTAGATAGTGTCCATAGTACACGGATGCCTCACTCGCACTATCATTTTCTATGTTCAGTGGACCGTGAAATTGGGGTCAAAACTCAAAAATTAGAAAGATCATATCATAGGGAACAAGTGTACTAAGTTTCAAGTTGATTGGACTTCAACTTCATCAAAAACTACCTTGACTAAAAGCTTTAACCTGAAGCGGGACAGACGAACGGACGGACGAACAGACGTACAGACCGAAAAACATAATGCCCCTAGGTGGGGCATAAAAACTTGAAAGCAAGTTAATATCAGAAGAACAAACACTAAGCAACATGAATTAAATCAGAATAATTACTTCTATAAACATCCATGTATAGTTTAGTACACTCAAAGGAGCTCATTGCAAAATTAATGAAACAGACGTCCTTAACGTAGGTGTCAAAATCTGTTTGATAAAAGAATATTAGCAAACTTTGAGAATTCTATTTTTCACTCGTTCGAATGCAATATTACATCTAAGACACCCCAAGAAAAAAGTAAATAAAGTGAACAGCCTTCATCCTTCAAATTTAGCTTTGCCTAAGGGGCTGCACAAGTACACAATTTGTAAACTGAAAATGTAGTACTACGCATGTATGGGAAGAAAACATTGATTTTCCATAAACGAACCGCAATAGACCTTTCCAGTTGTGACGGGAATGCTTCTGCAATGCTTTCCTAGTTGTGTGTAATCTTTAACTTTGTTGATCACGTTGGCCGTTTTATGTGTTTTGCTTTTGCTTTTGCAACGAATGGTATATAAAAAATAAAAGGGGAATGTTATTATTTGGTGTGCAAGTAAAACTTGTTAACCCTACCACAATGTATGTCTATAACAAGTCAGGCTATGTAAACCCCGTGTTACCTGTTGTTGTTTTTTTCTCTAATTGTGTAGTTATACACGTCTTTTTTCTTTGAAGTGTTTTGTCTTTGTGCTATCTAACATTATTGATAATTCCTTCTATCCTTTTAACTCTTAGACTAAATGCACTTGTCGAATTATAAAAGAAGCATATGCATATAATTACGAATTGTCAATAAAGAGTTCCGGTTTCCATATTTCGGTGTCCAGAGCGTAGAAGTAATCAGCTGTTAATGTACCATCCACAGTCCAAGCCAATCTGCTGTCTGTCCAATCCTTTCAAGATAGAAATATAGCTATTGTATATACCTCAGAAACTGATAGAGAGCTTGTGATATTTTTTCAAGCTCAGTTTGTATCGTGCACGTAGCATTAGTTTTAGGACATCATCTTCAAAATAGTCATAATAATCAAAGCATAACAAACTCCAACTAGAATGCTTAAAATTACGTAGTTTATAAAAGATATCGATGGGATATTCAAACTCAGAAGTCAATAAACAAACTGATAATGCCATGGCAAAAACCGAAAGACAACCAAAAAACAAATAACAGTATACAAAAAAACAACATAGAAAACTAAAGACTGAGAAAAAACGAACGCCACAAAAAAAACGGGGGTGATATCATGATTTTAGGACACCGCTATATGTTTATTAGCATCAAAGATATTTGATCATATTGTCATGGTTGTGGACTCATTATTCAAAATATTGTTGATTTTGAAAATGTGCATTCTAAGTGCTGCAAAATATCACGTGTAAGTTACTTACTACTGTCAACCAACCGGTCATTGTAAGCGTCATGGATTTAGTGTCCTACAAAATAAAAATGCTACGCTGTAGATTGAGTTATATATAATACATTTCATTATTTGTTAAGATAATTGAAATATTTAGTTCTATATTAAAGAAGGGTAATTGCACACTTTGATTGCAAGATGGTGTAATATGATATACTGGTAGCTAATGTTATCCCAATATCAATACTATTACCCTAACAATTAAAACTATTTTCAATTACATAAATACAAAATTCTTTGCAGGAAATGATTTTCGTCATTGACAATTTTTATGATTTTATTGATATAAAATTTTAATGATAAAATAAGTAAATATTGAAAATAATGATAAATTATCTTGGGGGAAGTCATTTGCAATTTGTTGACAAAAATAATCCAGAAAAAAAGTCTAAGCCATCTCATGATTTAATAGATATCAAAATTCAGAAGTATAACAGAAAACACCATTACTCCCGAAAGTCAGAACTACCAGGTATGGTTTAAGATCGTTTTGCTATAATGCTTCACAAATCTAGAATGAGCTGCCCAACAATTGTTGAATGGAAACATCTTTTGACCAATTAAAAAAATTGGTACAAACATGGGATCCAAATAACAGCTCATGCCAGTGCCGTGTTTTTATGCCTGTGCTTTTTTATTTTCTATTTTTTATGTGACTATTTGATTTGTTTAGTTTTTTTAGTTGCTATTATCTGCTGTGCTTATCATTTTAAGTTGTGCTATGTTTTAAGATATACTTTATTTTGCCTACTTTGCTTTTTAACTTTTATATGTCACTTACTATGCACTGTATGTTTAAGATTGTGTTGTTTTCCTGACTTATGTATGTGTGTTTATATGTTGTTATTCAGTCGATTTGAAAAGCTCACTATAGCTTGTGTTTATGTAGTTTATTGAATATCGACTTTAAATAAAACTTTGAATTTGAATTTGATTTGAATTTGAATTTGATTTTGAATTTGGATTTGACAAACTATGCGCCATTAAAGATTAATTTCGACTGTTTTTTTTACCAAAAATGAAAAAACCCACTCCACGTACATTTCTAACTTTGGCTCACTCAGTGAGACTCAGGTGGTACAATGTTTGAGTTTTAAATTATATGGTTTACAAAATAATCACTTAACATATATTTCAATTGCTGTTTAGGATGAAGAATCAAGCACACACAGTCTTGTCATAAAACATAGAGGTAATTTGTGTGGTAAACTCTTTAAAGGAAAATATATACATTGTCACTTACGACAGTTAGTCTTTATAAAATGTTCACCAGGAAAACCAGTTTGATTGTATTATAGCTTCGAAGCCTTTATAGTTTTTGCGTATGTCTGTTATTTATCAAAAGACTGTAAAAGTCTTCTTTTATTAAAGCCTTTTAAAATTATGTATAGTCATTACAATGTTCCGTCTACACATACAACCTTTTAATTCCGAATTGATTAATATCACAATTAATATATTGTAATAATTTTTACATCGGATGACCGTGAGGGCATTCCGGTGTATTATTGCCACAGACATTTCTACTCACGTGACTTTCGTTTTTGACTGATAACCGAACGCAAAATAACATTCCTTATCGCTTGTTATATATCAATTTCATCAATAAATATCCATAAAAATAATTTTAAAGAACATAGATAAATGACATGGAAATGTTTTGTCGTGAGAAATATATATATCAATAACAAATCAAGAATACCGAAAATTTGTTTTAACGAATGCGGAAGAATATCTCAAGAACGTTTTGCGGGAAAATATGAATGCATACTCAAATCCAATCTATTAGAAAAATCGAATTATTACAGAAGAGTGTCCACCATGCACTTGTACTGCACTATTATTAGAATAGTAGAATAGAATGATATACAAATGGATGAAAATTATATAACGTTATATATGTAACTGTTATATACAAATATTAATATAATATATAACAACAAACCAGAGTATACTGATTTGTATCACTACAATATAATAGTTATTACAGTGAGGTTGAATTCCATGTCATTTATTCATCATCCACGCACGAACTTGTCTCAGAAAAAAATATAACTATGTACCTTAATCTCACTTTCAGGTATTGAGATGTGATTTTTTTTCTGAGACAAGTGCTTGTGACCATCCACAAGAACTTGCGGTCATCCGATGTTTAGTACTTCAGTACTTTGATTCATATTACTGCATAATGATAGTAAAAAAATCAGCAACTTAAATAATTGTTTTGTGTTTATCAAAATAAAGATGAAAAAGATAAAGAGCCATATTAAATGACTAGTATTATTATGTCTTCTATATTAACACCAAGGCTTGTGTCGGGGTTTAGCTCAGGTATTTGTATCTCGGGTGATTTTAACTGGTCGTGAGGGAGGACTGTGTTTTATAGTACTCTCGATACATATAAAATTGAGAATAGAAACGGGGAATGTGTCAAAGAGACAACAACCCGACCAAAGAGAAGAAAACAGCCCAAGGCCACCGATATGTTTTCCATCTGTCAAATTGTTTAATGCATCTTTTATACATATTACAAGAAAAAGCAAAATAACTCGAAACGACAGCATCCAGCAACCATATAAACGATTACATAATCGGGTATTTTCTGGTTGCATCTTGTATGTTTTTTCCCAAAATCAATATCTTCCAAATCGTGCAAAAATATGAAATTGATGATTAAAAAAAAAAAAAAATCGTTTATCACTGTTACTCATGTAACAAAACTTATGCATGATTACCATTGTTTTTTCAAAGTTTCTTTTGATACACATACCAATGAATATATCGATGACAGATTTGTTTATCAATGAATGTCCGAACCAATTAATCAATTGAAAACCGTGACAGATTTGTGAATCATTTAACGTACAACCAATGAAACAATCGATACATGTGACAGATTTGTTTATCATTTAATATAAATACCAATAAATCAATCGATAACAGATTTGTTTTGTTTAATAAACATATTTAATAATCAATCGATAACGGATTTTGTATTGATATTGTTTGATATGTATACCAATGAATTAATCGATAACAGATTGTTTTATTATTATTTAATATGCATACCAATGAATCAATCGATAACGGATTTTGTATTATTGTTTAATATACCTACCAATGAATCGATCGATAACAGATTAAGTGCAGCCTTAACAGCTACTGTTTCAGTTGGTCTGACAAGTCTGTCATATGTTATCGAATCTAGCTTCTGCTTTCTCACTTCAAGCTCGCCTGCAGCCGTCCATTGTCCATTTGCAATAAATATAAGTCCTTATAATAGAAATGAAACGATTTTACCTGATATCATTATTTCTTTGTTTCGTTTCTCGTTTAATTCAGTTTGCTGTATAGTTTATCCTAGTTGTGCTTAAATAAGCTGTTGTATGGGCAGTTCATCTTAGCGTTTTTATGTTCCATACACATTATTTTGAACAGTTCTACTCAATATTCACATATAGACAGAAATAAAGAAAATTCATTGTATAAATTAGATTTGCGCTGTCGGGAAAGTTAATAATGTCGTTGCTAAATATAACCAAACATGCATATTCGTATTCCTATTTCTTTAATTGTCATTTATGTTTGGTGTTTGAAATTATTAACGCACTGAACATTTACAAATTATTTAACTTATATACATTACATGTGTGGACATAAAAAATGACTCCAAAATGATCAATAAATGATTCATTAGTATCCAGAATCAATCTTTAAAGCATGTAACCTAAGGTTTGAAATTTCTGATGTTTTTTTTTCGAATTGAAAATATTAAATAGAATCTTCATGACCAAAAAAAACTAGTTTTGAATTGTCTTCGTTCATACCCTATAATGTATAACTTATGGGTGACTATTTAAATATATCCAATGGGTCATGATTTTCCTTTGTTCGTAGTATGTATCATGTTTGATTGTTTTAACTATACTACATGACAAATTAATTTAAGATGCCCTTATTTGATTGTTACCATTGTTTGAAGTATATATTTTATAAGTGTCTGCATACATGACCGATGTCTAACAGCTGGTTAAGCTTCAAGTTTACTCTGTCTGATTACTGTAATGTTTAACAGTTGAGGTATAAATTTAAAAATACAAACCTAACTGAACATTTAAAAATGATTTAATCAACATTATAAGCAAACACAAAAAGTCTAAAAAAATGAAAAAAAACACTAGATTAATAAATACTCGTAAATGAAAAATTTGGAAGAGAGTCAGTTTTAAAAAATTGTCTCTTTTGGTTTGACAGGAAAATTATAAAAACCATTGAAACAATTTGGAAGCACAAGATACAGAGTTTTAATTCTGAACAAAATTGCTGCAATGTTAGCTTCTAATAAAATAATTTAGTAATTTTTTGTTGTTTGTTGATAACAGTAAAAACAGGAACAGTATAGATGTTGCCACTGCTACCGGTAACAAGTTATGTATTCTGTGGTTTTATTCGAGTTTCGTCCGTAATCCGAACCGACTTTACTGATACTTTTGTGCATCAAAAGGGACAGCAGGAGTCGCAAAAATAAATACTGAACAGTGCAACACATCCCATCAACCACCAACGAACCCCGGCTGGGTCAAACCAAAGACTTTAAAATTGGTATTTGCTGCTTCTCCGCTAAGCACGCGGCATTATAAGGAGTAAGACTGGTCGGCTCGGAGTCAGAATAATGTGTCCGGGTAAGTTGACATGTCTCTTGCGGACTGTTAACTTGTGAACTAGCACGTTAAAAATCCGGCTCAGTGTGTCGGTCTAGTACAAAGCAGTGTTATAACTCATATTACATTAACATGTTCTCGTCCGGAATATGCATATTGATTTGCCGCGTGACGTTAAGCAGCCATCCATCATCATCATCATCAACAACCAACACCAAACTCTTCATAAAATAAATCACATACAACGACAAACAACAACGAACAACCCCATAGACAAGATAGTCCAACTTGGTACAGACACAAAATGTAGTGGGGTTAAGTTGTTATTGGCTTTGAACTAGCTATCAATAACTGCGAGTACTCGCAGATCTGTAATTAGTGTCTTTTTGTTGTGGAGATGTATAAGTACTCTGCCACGTCCACTCTGTGTTTTTGTTAGATATATTTCTGCTTTGTATCCATATGATGAGTTAAACCCTTTTAACTGTTTCTTATAATTTGTTCTTAAGTTGTACTGTTACACCACTGTCCCAGGTTAGGGGAGGGTTGGCACCTTCAAACTAGTTTAACCCCGCCACATTCTGTATGTGCCTGTCCCAAGTCAAGAGCCTGTAATTCAGTGGTTGTCGTTTTTGCTGAATATCATTTTTGTTTGTCGTTCATTATGTTGTTAAACCAGGCCGTTAGTTTTCTCGTTTGAATTTTTTTACATTTGTCATTTCGAGGCCTTTTATAGCTGACTATGCGGTATGAATTTTACTCATTATTGAAGGCCGTACGGTGACCTATAGTTGTTAATTCTGTGTCATTTGGTCTCTTGTGAATAATTGTCTCATTGGCAATCATATCACATCTTATTTTTTATATTAAATCGGTTTTATCGTGCGCGCTTACCCCGCTCCCTTTGCATATCTAGACCATATGTCTTAAAACTAAAACACAATAAAAAAAACCTGCACAGTGCAGCTACCATCATGTACCAGTCCAAAGTTGGATCCAATTATATCTTAATGTTTTGGGGAATTGGGTGTTGATGGCAGAACTTTGATTGTCTCTAGTAAATGAATTCAAAACTTTAACTGACTCGGGGCGATTTAGAGCTTCGCACATAGTCAAGACATTTGGCTTTTGTCCAAATTGTTTGTTTAACTTCAAATGTCTTGAATTTGGTTTTTTGGGGGTATAATTCGGTTACTGTCTCATTTACCTCCCTTTTATTTATTTATATAAAGATTATCTTAAAAATTAAAAAGGTTTTTGAACCATTGTCCAAACATTATGACCTTCATGATCTAAAACTACTTAAAGTTTTTAACATAAGTCGTTCCAAACTTATGGGCCGTTTACATCTAAAGAACTAAATATGTTGAAAATTTTTTCAGTCCAAATAAGTACCCTTAACACCTAAAAGAAAAGTTAACGAGTGTTCTCGTTGTTTGTCCATGACGAAACCGCTGCTAATAGACTGCTGGTCCACGAGGGTATCATTAGCTCAGTAGTCAGTATTTCGGTAAGTATATTATTTATAACATACTTTTCTTAAATTCTCTGTTGATAACTTTAGAAATTAATAAGAAGCTAAAGTTCCAACTCCCTCAGACAAAATTGACCTTACGTGTATTTAGCTATTTCTTTTTAGTCCCCTTTGAAGACATAGCTGCTAAAGTATTCAAGTATTCATACATCCTTGGCTTTCAAATTTTTATGTTTGAACGTTCCCAGACGCACCAAATTTATAAAGTGTTATTCTCATTACCCGTTTTGTAACATTTGATTTCCCACGTTCGTGTATTGTCTCTTGTTTGCTTTGCTGTCCCTTTTTGTTTCAATATCTTTCACCCGTTATTCACATATTTTTTTTCATATTTCAAGACGGAAACAATCATGTGAGCTTGTTTCATGATCTTTCTGTTTTTATCGGTAGACATATAAACCATGGAAGTTATATGTTTCTGTACTGAAGAAAGTACTTACCAAAGAACATCAAAAGAAAAGTCATAAAATCAATAACACTAGTTTTGAATATGCCCATCTTGTTTCTCCGTACAGATCAGACAAAGTATGCCTTGAGGATGAATATTTAAATAAATTGAATGGGTGGGCGTTAATTTGTTCGTTTATGTAGTATAGGTGTATTTTTTTTATTGTTTTAAATAAACCTAACACATTATGACAATTAAGTTTAAGTTGTCCTTAGTTGATTGTAACAATTCTTTGGTGTATATATTCTATACCTATAGTGTCATTTAGACGAACATAGCTGATTACGTTTTAATCTGTTAGATTACATATGAGAGCAGAAAAATACGTACAATAGGTATACGACTTGCAGCATCTGATCTAATACCAGCATTATATGTTCAAGTTACCGAATCATCTTAATTTGTTTTAGAAAAAAAATACTTGAATTAAATTAGTAATGCCAAAAAGTTTTTATACGAAGTATTGGTGTCTTTTGTTTTTGTTTTTGTTTTGTGTGTGTGTGTGTGTTTGATTAATTCTTGTCTCATCGACGTTTATTTCACATTTCCTTACTTTAATTATCGCTTTGTCCCGCAGTGGAGCCTACTTAACGTATATCAAAGAAACATCATTTACGCCGCAAATGACTACAATTACCCCTGTAGAATACATTTAAGTTATGAATGCAGGATTATTAGCAATATATGTAGGAGAAGTTCTGGATGAAATTTGTCAATAAATATTTTAACATTCTTTATAAATCTAACATATGAAAACAAAACTCAATCAAATGATGACAGTGCGATAAATGAACAATTGCAGATGCAAACTACGCGCAAAGTGCAGAATTGCACAAAAAAAATCAATTCAATTGCATGCTTGAATTGAATTGAATTGGCCTCTAAAATTACTTGTATGTTTTTTAATTTTAGTTCATTTATATGTTTTATATGCTCATTGTTGAAGGCCGTACGGTGACCTATAGTTGTTAATTTCTATATCATTTTGTCTCTTGTAGAGAGTTGTCTCATCGGCAATCATACAACATCTTCTTTTTTTTATAACACATAGTCCAGATGACCTGACTTACTACATGCACAAAATGTGGTGGGGTTAAATCCGTTTGAAATGCACACAAACCTGACCATTTGCTTATCTAGACTATACATGTGGAAAAAATATAACATGCAATAAAGACATTGAGGGTGCAGCTACCAACAGAATCCCATTAACTTGAATAACAAAATAAAAGATGGCATTAATTTGGAAATCTGGGTTAAAATGTCCTCGCTACTACATCACGCTATAGCTTAAGGTAGCCATAACTGTTGATTGAATACTGCCGCTCAAGATAACATCAACATTAGAACAACACTGCTAACAGGTTTTGTAAAGTCTCATCATAAAATTTAATGGAATCAGCAATATTTGTGAGAGGTCTATAGGTATCTAACTTCTTTAGAACATCGGAAGAAAGAACCGTTTTAACTGAATTAAATAGTCACTCCTGTCTATTAACAATTGTGCATGAACTGTTGATTTTACATGTATGTTTTTATTTGAATACTTTCTCTCTCAATATAACCTAATATATAAATGAATACATAACAGAGGTAAGCAGTATTTCTTTTATATAATTGTTCAAAATATAGAAATGTTAATGCTAATTCGAGGGGAGGCATATTGTCTACCATTTAAGAAAAGAAAAAGAAAAAGAAAAAAAAAAAAAACAATAAAAAACTTAGATTTTTTGTTAATATTTTTTGTAAATGTTACATTATTTGTATAGTTTATTGTATATTTATTATTGTTGTTTAGTAGCAATCCGATTGTTTGGATATAATACTTTAAAATATCTTATTCTTGTAACCCTTGCCGTTGATAGATATATTTACGACTACGACATTGTTATCAAAGGTAGAATAAAAACTACCATAGAATATGAATTTTCCACGAGAAACCTTATTACAGAAAATATGGTGATAACGACTTGCAATTCTTTTAAGCATTTAAAAGTCTGTGATTTCTATTACATGCACCCTGTAAAATTAAATTTTGTGTTTTTCGCATGGTAAAAAAACGACCGAATCTATCCTGACAGCTAGCGTCCTGATTCTCCCGAATGCGGTCCGACAAAGATCAGATAGTGACCAGACAATGAACATACACAGGACATTGTTACGATTTTGATCTGATACCGCAGAATCTGTCACAACTGTGTTCCGACTTAACTGAATCGGATGAGTTTCCAGAATGTTACGGGACGCACCTAACTATCGGGAGTGCTTGGCCGACCTCTCCGGACCATTCCCGATCCGTAGGAATCTGTTACGAACGTATATAACTGCGTTCAGACAATGATAGGACATTCCAGTTCATTGAGGATAGTAATCAGACAATGATAGGACATTCCAGTTCATTGAGGATAGTAATCAGACATTTTGATATCCTCAGTGATCTGGAATGTCCTATCATTGTCTTAACGAAGTAATTTACGTTCGTAACAGATTCCTACGGATCGGGAAAGGTCCGGAGTGGTCGACCAAGCACCCCGACAGTTAGGTGCGTCCCGTAACATTCGGGGAAACTCAATCGATTTTGCCTAGTCGGATTACAATCGTGACTGTCATGACAGATTCTGATGTATAGAATTAAAATCGTAACAATGTTCTGTGTTTTCTGGACGTTGTCCTCTGGAACGTGCATGATCTGGATAAATTTGTCATTGCTGTATTTTTGCCGATTGAGTCCAGATTGCATCCAGATCTTGCCGAATGCGAACCGTCTTTGCCGAAACCGTTCCGGAATAGTCCAGTTATTAATACGAAATTCGGCAATAATACCCACGTCAGAGTCCCGACAATTACAGAACACAATACGACTGAGTCCAGACAAAGCCGTGTGCAATGCGGTACATCAGAGTGTGATAGGATTGCGTTCCGACAGTACCTAATCGTCCCGAATATGGCGACAGTTTTCTAACGTACATCTTCCGTCAGCGTCGGTTCACTGTCTGGTCACTGTCTGATGTCTGTCGGATCACATTCGGTAGAATCGGAACGCTGTCGGGACAGATTCGGTCGTTTTGTTCCATGCGAAAGATACAAATCGGATAAGAAACGGATTGAGAACGGGATTATCGGGACAAATTCGGTTGAAAACGGCTGAATTTGGACGCTTCCGGAACAATATTTGATTGTTTTCGTGATTCAATAAATGTTTTTACAAATTTTAATTAAAGTTTGAATTTCCAGACACGATTCACAGGATCTTGATCAGACTTTTAACAAATTTTAATCGGGAATAGTCCGGTCAAGGACGGCAGTAAAAATCGTGAATGTGTGACCCCAGCTTTTTAAAGGATGTTAGACAAATTAGGCAATTCAATGTGTAAAGCGGTAGCAAACGTTTCTGGGAATTGATGATTTATAAATCCCTCCCTCGATTGCTTGGCTATCTTGTAAAGTTCTTTTTATAACCAATAGAGTGATATTATCTTTCATTATTGGCAATTTGCTGTTAATCGTTTGATACTTTCTGATTTTCATTATCTATAACGAACAAATACTGACGAAAAATAGTCATTAAAAAGTGAGGTTAATCCAATTATTCGGTATCTAGTTATTTTGTTTTAGTACCAGGAAGTCGATGTCTCTATTCCTGGTGGACTGCAAGTTAACAAGAGTCTCAAAGCCAGTAACCGCGGTCCTGTGTGTAATTTGAAAAAAAACTCAGTTGACAAAAAATATAAAATCCGATGAATTGGAAAGTTATCCCTCGATACAAATGAAGTTCTTTAGAGCTTTGGTTCTGCAAAGCTTTTTTTATTGTTCCTCAACGTTTTACACGTCGGTTTCCAAGCGAGTTGTAACAAGAAGTTTGTTAACAAAGTTGTTTTTCTAAAATGATTAAAAATTTGAAAAAAAAACTTTGTTAATTTATGTATCATTGTCATTTTGCTTAGTTTCTTTTGTTATCTATTCTGACATCTTTTAAACTGAGTTTTACTGTGCGTACTGCTGTGTGTTTCTTTATTATACATTTGCTAGAGGTATAGGGGGAGGGTTGAGATCTCACAAAACATGTTTAAACTCGCCGCATTTTTGCGCCAGTCCCAAGTCAGGAGCCTCTGGCCTTTGTTAGTCTTGTATGTTTTTTAATTTTAGTTCATTTATATGTTTTGGAGTTTAGTATGACGTTCATTTTCACTGAACTAGTACACATTTTTATTTAGGGGCCAGCTGAGGACCACCTCCGGGTGCGGGATTTTCTCGCTGCGTTGAAGACCCATTGGTGGCCTTCGGGTGTTATCTGCTCTTTGGCCGGGTTGTTGTCTCTTTGACATATTCCCCATTTCCATTCTCAATTTTATCAATATGAGATTTTTTAAAGACCGATAGTCCTTTAAAACGACACATTCGAGTCTTATAACTATTTGTTCTTTTTGATAATCACACATGATTCGCACAATTTGGTTTCTCTTAGTAATTTAAGAAAGCTCTTTTATTAAGCAATCTTTGAAGTGTTTAGTTTTTAGTTTAATTACGAACAATTATGTTCATAGCTATAGGTCGATTGTTTTTTTCTTTTTCAAACCTCTAAAAAATGATAGTATAATTTTGTTTTCTGTCCAGTATTTGGAGCTAAATACACTAGTCTCGATTTTGAACTCTTCAAAATTAGACACGTTCTCCGCTAAGAACGCTATTAATTATCAGCTCGCAAGAAAACTTTCTCTGAAATTAATTCTATCAAAACTTTTAATTTTTAAACCCAATACACCACCATTCCCCATGTGAAATTGAAAAATCGTCTAAAAGAAATAATCCACAATGCTTTTCAATGTAAATATTGTAGCATACGCTATAGATTTATTGCTTTTGGATACCATACGGCATATTTTGTTAATAGTGAACAGAAAGGTAAAACATGCTTCACAGAGGAACTAGTGATCAGTATGCTGGAGTTTCTTATTGACAAAATATTTGTTGAATTTGGAGGTAGACTTTTTCAACAAATTGTCGGCATTCCTATGGGAACGAACTGTGCGCCTCTCCTTGTCGACTTCTTTTTATTTTCATATGAGTCGGATTTCATTCAG